AAAAAAAAAAATGAATGTTGGCGGGATCGAAACCCAGCCGTCGGCGTGCTAGCCGAGCACGTTACCGATAGGACACGCGCTCATTATTATAATTTATTTCAATAGGAGTATATCTTCAACATATTGAATAATTTTTTTCATTTGAAATTCCACAAGATGTGGCTCTACCCTTCCGATCGTTCTACAGTTGGCTAAATTTCAGTTAAACAAATAAAAAATAAAAAGCATTCATGCCGCAGAAAATGAAATTCACCCCGTCGCGTTGAGACACCCCAGCATTGCAATAAAAACTTGGTCAATAAAAAAAAAACACCCCAACATTGCGTGTGGCGCCCTCCCTTTCTTGGGGTGCAGTACTACGATGCCGTTGGTGTCACTCAACCCCCCAGAACTGAGTCTCTACTTTAGTCAATCCTCTCTGGCTATTATGCTCTCCTTTATATGTAAAAATGATAATTGATGTTTCAATAGTTATTCATTAATCACCCCATATAAATCCTCTGCGATATCTCCATCTAAAATTACTATTACACAGTGCGACGGTGAGATATTTTTTGTACTGTCATCACATGAGAACGCATCCTACTACTCACCGCTCAGTGCTTTTTTTTTTTAATAAAGGATATTTATTGTGCATTCGCCAATACATAAAAAAAAAATATTGCCAAGATTGCGGAGTATATGAGTCCGACCTTGAGGAGCTTCTCACTCCACTGTTAAAATCACATTGGAATGGATTTGAATGGGTCCAGTGGATTGTGAAAGAATCGTAGTGGTGAAGTACAGCGGACTCGGTGAATTTTTCTCCATGAATAGAGTAGTAGAGGTACTGCTCAATAACTCCGATCCACGGTGGTTTCATACGTCTGATAATATCATATAAAATGGGCTCATTCCACTCGACTTGAGATGACTCGGAGATGTGAAGATTTTCTCAATTACTGCACCCTTGGAATGTGATAATAGTGCTACTCAGCATGAAACGAAACGTAGTTAGTCTAATAAAATTCATTTCACTCGCGGCGATCACAGTGATTATTACTGTTATCGTATTTCGCTATGTGAGAAGCGGCAAAATCATCAACGCCCGGGGACCACATTCTCTACAACTCCACAATTACCCGCAACACCAGCAAATCGAGGTATTTCAATTTCCACTTCAATTGCCACTTCCAAAACTCCTCGAATATTTATGGCAAAGACACCCGTTTTTTAACATTATTTTTTTCTCATTAAATTTCTAGTTTTAAACTTATGTAAAGCTGTTTTTTTTTTCTTTTTAATCGAATATTTGAATGATCAATTTTCAAGGTCTTTTGGTTTGTCGCGATATTTGAATTAATCCGCTTAAACGAATGGTATATTCTCTTCTAAACGGAATTATTTATCAATTAGGATATTAAGGGGAAATTATTGAATTATATTGCAGAAAGAAATGGGAGAGACTGAGGAGAAAATGGACTGGCATGACTTAAAAATGATAAACACAGAGTCGAAAAGAAGGGGGATTGGTGAGCAAGGTCGAGCAGGTTCGCTGCCGGCATCGTTGTCCTCCTTGGAGGGAAGCTTGTACCAAGTAAACGGGTTCAATGGTGCCCTGAGCGATCTGATCGCCCTGAACCGTTCGATCCCTGACATCCGCCACCCAGACTGCCGCCGAAAGAAATACTTTCGCCGTTTGCCATCGGTTTCAGTTATAGTCTCCTTTCACAATGAGCACCTGTCGACACTCCTGCGCACCTGCTGGAGTGTCGTCAATCGTTCGCCAGTCTCTCTCCTGGAGGAGATAATCCTGGTGGATGACGCGAGCACAAAGCCAGAGCTTCAGATAAAACTAGACGATTACGTCGCGAAACATCTGCCTCTCGTTAAGATAATCCGCCTGGGAGTGCGTTCAGGTTTGATAAGAGGGCGGCTAGCAGGTGCCAAAGCAGCCAAGGCTCAAGTTCTGGTATTCCTCGATTCACACACAGAGGCCAATGTCAACTGGCTGCCGCCCCTGTTAGAGCCCATCGCCGAGGACTACAGGACTTGCGTTTGTCCCTTCATTGATGTAATAGCCTTCGATACGTTTGAGTACAGGGCCCAGGACGAGGGTGCTAGGGGAGCTTTTGATTGGGAGTTGTACTACAAACGTCTCCCGCTCCTACATGACGATTTGAAGCATCCGGCGGAGCCCTTCAAATCGCCGGTGATGGCTGGAGGACTATTTGCCATCACAGCGAGATTCTTCTGGGAGCTGGGTGGTTACGATCCAGGTCTTGATATCTGGGGGGGTGAGCAGTATGAATTATCTTTCAAGATATGGCAGTGCGGCGGCCAGATGCTTGACGCGCCTTGCTCCAGAGTCGGTCACATCTATAGAAAGTTTCCACCGTTTCCCAATCCCGGCAGGGGTGATTTTTTGGGAAAGAACTACAAGAGAGTCGCGGAGGTGTGGATGGACGAGTACAAAGAGTTTATTTACAGGAGAAGAAGCCATTTGAGGGCCCTAGATCCTGGAGATCTGGGAGAGCAGAAGGCCCTCAGGGAGAGACTACACTGCAAATCGTTCAAGTGGTTCATGGAGAAGATCGCCTTTGATCTCGTTGAGTACTACCCACCCATCGAGCCTGATGACTTTGCGTCCGGGGAAATCAGGAATGTGGGGGCACCTGAGATGTGTCTCGATGCCAAGAAGAGAAAGAAGGACGAGCTTGTCATGTTGGACTCTTGTGTCAGAGACTTGGGCAAGAATAACGGTGATTTTGAGCAAGAATTTCGAATGACCTGGCATAAAGACCTCAGACTCAAGGGCAGGACTGACTGTCTCGATGTCTCGAGCGGGGAGCTCAAGGCTCCTGTTACGCTCTATCCCTGTCATGGCAAGCATGGCAACCAGAGGTGGAAGTATGATATCGAGAAACAGTGGATCATGCACGGCAATGCCCAGAGATGCCTCGATGCTGAGCCCGGGGCCAAGAGGGTTTACGTTACTGCCTGTGATTCTGACAGTGCCACACAAAAGTGGAGGATTCAGGAGGTCAACATGAAGGCTATTAATGACTGGGATAATGTGGGACCCAATTTCGCATGAGTTTTTACTAGTCAGTCGGGAATTATGAGGCTGTCATGGGGGAAAATACTTTTAATTGTACACGTTGAATTTTAGCAACGAATTCCAGGCATCATTCCAACACTAGAGATTATAGCCATTATATAAAAATCAGGCTTCCTATCATATCTTTTGCCATTTTTTTTTTACTTTATCAATTGCAATACTCTCTACAGATATAAAGAATTGCTATTGAAGTCCATTTTCCCCCACTCTCCACGATTGACCAATCGACGAATGTGTGATGTCTTCTGATTACCGAGAATCGTGATAGCGCTGTAGGAAATGTCTATTTTTTCCACTACATGTGTTAAAAAA